ACTGGGCAGAGGGAGGGGAATAAAGGGGACGTCATCTGCATTCTCAGGAAGCTGACCTTTCAACGGGAGAGGCATGTAAAAAGCAAACAGAAATAACCACACCTTACCATGTCTTCTAAAAATCTTGCACATTGCTCTGAAGGAGAATAGGAGAGGAAATATGCGTTGGATAGAACCAATTCATTTTCAATGGAGTGATGAGTAACTTGAGGTAAATGACATGGTGTGACGAGCTGGCGCGGGGGGTGGGGGGGCTGACAAGAGCTGTGAGTGATGGTCTGGAGAGAGAGCAGGAGGGCACTGGGTTCACCTGATGAATGAAATCCATTGTAGCCAGCGGTTGGCACGGGCACGGGAGAACGATGGAGAAGGAGAAGAAAAGCTTCACAGAAGCGTAAGCAGGCAGGCAGCGGTGACAGGTGAAAGCAGGAAACGCTGTCTGCTCAGAACATCACAGCCTGCGACTCTCCTAGGCCTCCATATGTTCCAGCCACTTAACCCGGAGAGAGGAAGGAATGAGCTGATAAGTGAATTCACAAGGGGAAACTGGGCAGAAATAGTTCTGCTCCTTCCTCTGCCCCCATTTCTTTGGGAAAGTGTTATCTGACAGAAGCACAGATTCTATAATCTTTCCCATAGAGTGAAAAGATCCCATGTGAAAAAACAAATTTGCGGAAAGATCACCTATATGGTCTGTCTAACAAGGGTACAAGTGAACTTTTCTAGAATTAGAGTATAATGTTTTAACACAATAACTAAGTAAATGACACAAAGTCTATGTTAACCAGTTTGATGAAAATACTTAAAATTGTATATGAAAACACTACACTGTACCCCATGTTTGCATTAATGTATACAGCTATCATTTAATTAAAAAAAAGATATAGATCATTTCAATTAAAATTCTTCAATGATAAAAATAAATGAGAAAATAATGTTTTACTGATAATATAGGTTTTCAAAGTTTAAAAAAAAAAGAAAAAAAAGAAAAAACAAATTTGCATCAGCCCAGCCATCCTCTGTGCATCTAAGTCAAGGTCTTTAGATGAGGTTTAAGATTAAGAAGCCTGCTTTCTTCAAATATAAATCAAAGTCTCTTTGTTTGTTTGTTTGCTTGTTTTTGCAGTTTTTGGCTGGGTCTGGGTCTTAACCACCCACCTCCAGCATATAGAGTCAGCACCCCACTCTTTTGAGCCATAGGTGCCCCCCTAAACCAAAGTCTTTACAATAGATTTATCAATAACAATAAAAGCAACGTTATAACTAATGCATTATTGAGAGGATGTATTAGTTAATATTCCTATATTATATAACATATTGATTTTGCAGCAGAAGCAGGTTAGATGGTTGTCAAATCCATTTTATGTTTCTTTGGGTATATTGCTTAAATACATTTTTCAACATTCCTGACAATTAGGTGTTGCCATGCAAATAAAGCAGTCATTTGTGAATTATAGGTGGAAATAATGTACATGCCTGGTTCATATAAATTATTCTCATGTGATCCTCTAATCTCTATTCAGATACACAGCCTCTCCCTGGGTGACCTCTGAGAATTCAGAAGGTAGCAGAGTCACTGGACAGAAGGAGAAAGCTGCTCTCTCAACACAGCGGGGACTGTATATGAGCCAAAACTAATCGTCCTTGGGTATTATTTATTGAAATTTGGGGTACTGCTTATTAGAAGATTTAGGGCAGGAAAGAGTGGTGCCATCATCACTGGGCATGCACTGAACCGTCACCATGTGATGGTGTAGCCAGATGGACTTGGACTTCTCTGGACTAAGTAAAAAAAGCCACTGAAGTCTTCCAAGCAAGGGAGTAATCGGATCCAATGTAATGATTTAGAAATATCGTCTTGACTGGTGAATAGAAAATGAGTTGAAATAGTCTACAGTGTTGTGAAGAGACTTGGAAAGAGGAGGTGAGACAGGAGATGATGATGGCCCTGCCCAGGGGAATAGCAGACATGGAAAGGAAGGGGAAGAGACACCAGGGGAGGCAGAACTAAGAATGCGCATCAGTGCTGTCAGGCACTTCTATGGAACAGTTTCCTAAGCCACCAGGACAGCAATAAAAGAACTTCAGAATTAACACTGAGCCCAGACTGCACTAATAATCTACCACGTAGCTATTTCTCATTAACAACTTAAAGGATCCAGTTGTAACACCTGCAGAATAGCATCCAAATGGCAGACCTTTTTAAAAAGTAAGGCATAGGTGTAGAATTTTAGCTACATGTAAGTAGTAATTTTAATCTTCTATTTCCCTCAAATCAGAAAAGCATTTTTAGGTGTTTGAAGTAAGGCTACACCGTGAGCTGTAAGTACCACAGAGGGACCCCACAAGGCTCATGTCTCTATAAATATAAATACTTCTCTGTAAATGTTTATAAACAACATTATAAATTATACATAACTAGGCATATTTCTATGATCAGAAAGGACAAAGTTTTTCTTAATAAAGTCCATAAAATGATACCACATAAAATAACATAATTTGCAAAGAAAGATGGAAAAACTATTTTTTATTTTCATCTGCAGACTGATTTTTAAATGTTGCAGTGTTCTCACACATAGCAAAAAATCTCTTCCATCATGGAAAGAATCAGAGTCATTGATTTTTAAAGTGAGTTACCATAATTATTTGTAATCAGTGCAACCTACATGAATATTCGATCCTCTAGACCATGAAATTTAATAGACATGTTCATTTCAGCACACGCAGAATTCATAATCTAATTCTAAATCAATATGTACGGACTCACAAAGGAAAAACCGAATAACTATTAAATTTAGCATGAGAACCGCATTTTGAGTATAATCTCTACCATGAATTACCTTGGTTATATTTTAAATTCCTAAGAGTTTACAATTATTTTTTTCTCTTCTCTAAATATCAATTACTTAAGAATGATTTCCTTCCAATGCACATGAGACTTTCAAATACATTTTTAAAGGTCTATTAAGCACATCTGTTTCGAACCCTAACAATTAACTAATCTCTCCATCAGCTATTCTTAGCCAGGCATTTATGTAGCTGAAGAGCTTCAGTGAATGCCCAGGCCATTATCCAAATTTTGAGGAAGGGGAGTAAGGGGGAACTTCATAATTCACATGAAGTTTCAAAGGATGCTCCGTGACACTATTTTCCAATTATTAATCAACTGAAGGGGAAATCTTTACACACTTCTATTTACCCTACAATGCCATTCCTAAACGTACCTTAAAATTGTCTGTTATAGCTCAATATAAAAGTAATTAAGTAATGTATAAATAATCACGTGACTAAGTACCCTTATTTTTCTGTTCTAAACATTTTCAAACATTTCATCATATTTTATAAAAATAATTTAAAATATGTAAATACCACATTCCCACAAATAATTGCTAAGACACTACAAATTCCTTCTTAGAAAGTAAAATGGAATATTTTAAAAATAATTCCTATCTAAAACATTCAAATAATATTTTATATCTACATTTGTAACTTTTTAATGTGCAAACAATTCTATTTATATTCACTGTCATTCATTGGCCAGCTTTCTCATTGATCTAACTGAAACATTCTCAAAATTGAGGTAGACAAATTTCCCACAATTCTGAGATTTCTTCTTAAAATCCTATTAGCACTTTATCTAGTAAAAGCACTGCATATAGTTTAACATAATATTTCTGTATGGTCATCAAATGTGGAACCAACTTACACTGTACAATGCCATTTAAAAATTTTTTTTCTCTCATTTATGTAACTTTGCTAAGCAATTTATAATAGAGATTTTCATACTTGCTGCCAAAAAATCATCTTTGAACAGAAAAAATACTAGACATTTATCAACACACTTACTGCTTTGTAAGCCAACTCAAAAGTATGACTTTTTTTTTCAAAATATTTGCTACATAAATGTTACTTGAATAAAAAGGTGCATCAAATGAAAAGTAGCATTAAAAGGTCTATACTGCACACTAGTGGCCAGAGATAGTAAGTGCATGTTTTTAAATTTCAATTTGACTACTTCATCTCAAATCTTACCTCTTCCAGCTAAACTTAGAATCTATTATCTTAGAGTGTATCCACATATGCTCTGAACGTGGCATGAGTTTTGTGCTATGAACTATTCCTCCAGTATGTTCTAATTTATGGTGAACGTCCACATCACCCAGGGAAAGGTCCCTGTGCATGTAAATATTATGAATCTATATGTGTATATGCCCCTGTGTGTACAGACAGTTTTGTATATAAATGTATACATGATACACACTTCCACTCAACTCAGTTGGAAGTAGTTTGTCATTATTTTTGCCCGTTATTTTTATTCTCTTTGCTCATTATTCTTTCCCACATATGTACCTGATAACAATATTTCAGTACACACAATATGTAAAATTAATATTTAAATAACAAATGTTAATAAATCATTGAAACAGGAAGGGCTCATGGCAGCATTTTATCAATGAAAATGTTAAGGAAAAGTATAAAAGCCAAGTGGCTGATTCTGAACATCTCTAATGTCAATATGAAAAGAATCTAAATACACTTGAGGTAAACTGATATTATTTTAGACTGTTCATATTGGAAAGAATAAGATAAACTCATTTATGATAGGTGGCACAATAGCATAAGCCATTTTCGGCAGTCCCTTGAAATGTGCCTAGAATGGATAACTAAGTGAGTTAGACGGCTGATCATGAACTACTTCACTATCTGTGTGTATGCAGAACATCATTCGTACTCCTCATGTGTATACAATGATACTTTTTAAAGTAATAAAGACTAACATGAAGCTGAAAAATTTTATTATTTAGAACACAATTTCTAATATTCTGAATTTGACTATGCCCACTATTGACATGTGATTTCAAACATTCCTCTTACAGAGAAAATTCTACTTTCAATCTCACTTCCTGATGTTGAATCTTTGGCCTCTGCCCCCTGCCTTCCCTCTCCAAGGAAAGAAACCCCGGCTCCCACTGCCCCCTTTCCATCACGTGTCCTCCTACCTCTTTCACAGACTTTGGCTTCCGTTCTTTCAGCTCTTCGTACTTCCATTTCCACAGCGACAAAGCTGACTCCAGTTGTTCTATTTCTTTTTCCAAAGCTGTGCGCATTCTAAATTATGTAAGAATTAAAAGGAAGCAAAGTAGACTTAAATTTCTAAAATTATTTTAGGGACGTATCCAGTTTCATTTTTTCAACTTTCCTAATTTTTGATGTAAAATATTTTCCAACTTATTGAAAATTGCAAATAATGAATAAGATTTGGTTTAGTTTATTATTCCATCAATTAACTTTACTGTAGATAAAATATATTTAATTAGGGTTTACAAGTATCAACTTTCTGTCCAGTTATCTTGTGTATGTCATTCATTTCTCTCGATTCCTCTACTTTGTATTATTTCTACACATAGGACAACTGCATGCTTCTAATTTAACATGGCTTGCATCCATTTTTGTATTGTGACTAGATACAAAGGACGAATCATTTGAGGTGACGGAGAATGCCAGGGAGGCCACTTACCAATTTAAAAAATTCCATCAATTGGGGATACAGGTATAAACATATTTTAAATTATTTTGTATTTTATTTCACTAGAGCAATTTTGGTGGGATCTTTATAAATAACTTAAACAATATAAAATTTAATTTCTCCACTTATAGAACTAGCACAGAATAGAATTAACATTTGGTCCTCTTATAATTGAACCACTGACTATTTCTTCTTTGCAAACATGTTAATTGGAGTGAGTCCTTGAAAAGAATTGTTTTGTATCTGGTTGTAATTTGTACAGGTAGACCTTTCTGACCGGGCTGCCCTGATCTGTGCCGTAGATTACTGTTTAATCTTTTCTTTCTATTTCTGTGGACAAAGTTGGTATCTTCATCTCTGGATTCTAGGCTTTAACAGCAGGATGTTAGCAGATGTGACAGAAGCAGAAGTTAGAAGAGAACTTGTGTGCTGGTCTCCAGCTGAATAAACCCTGATTATTTTACAACACTCAAATTTGGGATTGTTGGCTAAAGCCTTATCGTACTTCAGATTAACTAATGTGCACACACAAATCTATGTTAGAGGCGATAAATATCACTAGAAGATCTTAGAAACACATCCACAGAGCCAAAAAAAAAAATGCAGAATCAAAATTGAATGCCACATACATATTTATAAGAAATATGACTCTTCCTGGTAGCAATACTATGAAAATAATTTGAAACAGTGTTAGGCTATAAATACATTAGTTTAATCCAGTCAACTGGATAAGGAAGCTATTAAAAAGTTATGTAATTATATTTGCATGAATCATGCCATAAAGTTGAGAGAGGATATAAAAGAATTAGTTAGAGATTAGCTTAACCTCAAACGACTTAGATTTCAAAAAAAAAAAATGGCACAAAGTATCATTTATGTATCCTGATTTGGAATGCCTTATTACCATAGCAAATGTATTAAACAAAATTAACAAACATAAAGGTTTGACATGAAAGTCTAGGTTTTATGAACACTGCATATGAATGTCGATAGCTCTAGATTAAAAACCCAGCCAGAATTCCTCATAAACAAACCAACCTAACTGTTGACATCCAAGTTGCTTACCCTAATATAAATATTGTACTAAGTAGCTGTGTCTTGGATGTCAAGAATAGCATTAATATAGAAATAATAAGCAAATTAACAAAATATTAATATTTTTATTGAATTTAGAATGTATATGTACAAACTTTATACATTTAAATACACTGCATATCAAATATTTGAGTACTTTTTAAGCATATTAGAATATTTAAAAGATAGTCGGTAATAGTCAGACTTGTGAACTTAAGTTGAAAAGTATAATAAAATTGTGATAAGTTTCTAACTTCATTAGAATGTTTAAGAATAGCCATATTGATCATTTTAATTTATTAGATTTATCTGAGTAGTACTTGGGAATATTTTCTCAAAAATTGAAAGACAAAAAATGAATAGAATATGTTCAATTAGTAAAGAATTTTATTAAAGGTTTTGTTAACTGTATTTGTGTAATGATAAAATTTACTCCAAGATTAATTTTGACAAATATTTTATTTATAAATGGAATGATAAAAATATGCTTGGTAATTTTTAAAAAATTCAAAATAATACATGCTGAAAAATCAAATATCTAATTTAGAAACTCAAAATAAACTGAAATGTGGCCAGGAGCAGTGGTTTACACCTATAATTGTAGCACTCTGGGAGGCCGAGGCTGGCAGAATACCTGAGCTTCTGAGTTCGAAACTAGCTTGAGCAAGAGTGAGATTCCATCTCTAAAAATAGCTGGGTAGTCCCCAGCTACTCAGGAGAGTGAGGGAAGAGAATCACTTCAGCCCAAAAGTTTGAGGTTTCTGTGAGCTGTGATGCCAAGACCCTTCACCAAGGATGACAAAGTGAGACTCTGTCTTAAAAAATAAATAAGTTTTAAATAATATAAATGTTTCAAAAGTTCACATTAGTATAAAAATGATTTATGATTACTGGAGAATAAAAGAGGATCATTGAAAGGTCATTGAAATTACTTGGATAACTATTCTTTTACAGTTCTATAAGTAGTCCAAAAAGATCATTTTCAAGTTTATATTAAACTTTTAATTTAAGTTATATACAAAATAGATCAAACCTAAAGGTATAATTACATCTAGATTATATCTGGACATAGAATAATAGTCAAAACCAGCCCATGAAATAAAAATGATAAAATTTTGCCAAAGTAAATAAAATAATAATTGATTATGATTATATTTAAGTCAAATTTTAAATATTAAAAACAAAAAAATGAGACTAATTGGTAAGTTTTCAAAGGTAGGAATTTATAGATGTTTAAAAAAGTGATATATAGGAGTTAGAACATAATGTGTTTTTCTTGTGTAAAAAGTTGCAATTTGGTCAAGGGCATGAGAAATAGGCAATTCACAAAAACTTAATGACAACGCCATACTTGAATTTGGTTTTTTTTTTGGTTTGGCCCTAACAAAAACTTACATGGCTCCATGTAAGCAAACATTAAAAACATTGCACATCTAAATTTATGCAGCAGAGGGCACTTTCATAAATCCCTAATTTTCTGACCTAATCAATTTATTCTGTTTCAAAGAGATTTTCAAAATTAGTGAATTCTGTATTTAAGTTTATAACTGAAATATGTACTATTGACATGCCATTGGCTTGCAGGAAGGCAAAAGAAACCCTAATATTAGCATATATTGCTCATGTTATGCATATTTTCTTTATCTCTACATGATTATATAACATTTTAGAACTCATATTACTAAAATAGATAAAAATGGTAGGATCTAAAAGATAACCTGAGAACAAACAATATTTTTATGAAGAGATGTGATTGTATTTCCATGCAATTCTTTGATACCCTGTTAACTATCACTATCCCATAATAATAGGAAATTAATTCTGGATATCTAGACAAAAATATTACTCAAATATTTCTCAGAAATGAAAGGTCCTGAAACACTAATATCTAGGAATAAATATTAATCACTTTTGAACTGTGGAAAATTTCATTGAAAAATACTGTCATCATTACCTGAAAGGCCCTAGTAATGGCAACAGTCGTGTGCCAGACCCCTTTGCCTACTTGCCTACTTGCCCTGGCAATGGAAGCCCATTCCTCGTCTATGGGGAATGCATCCTCCTCTGCTGGCCTGTATCTTGCTCTCACTCTATAAACCTTTCTCTTCCTCAGTAAACTTTGTCCCATGCTTGCCTCAAAAAAAAAAAAAAAAAAAAAAGGTTTTGCCAAATCAAAATATTATATCCATTTTCGTGACAGTCCAAATCTATAAAATTTTTACAAATTTACTTTTAATAAGCAATGAATGTGTTGTTTGGAAATGCACCCCAAACTCTTCATAATTACATCTTTCAGCCCTAGGTATTCTTAGCTGCAAAGCCATATTTTGCTAATTTAATTTAAAAAGAGATGTATTTTTAAAATACTGCTAAACTGGCAATTTGCTTCACTTTCTCACTAGAATTTTAAATCTCATTATATTAAGAAAAAATCAACATTTAATAAAGCAAAGCTAAATAATTAGAGCATACAAATGTTCTTACATAAGAAATAAATTAAGGTAACATTGAAAGGGAAGATTGAGGCAAAGCTTAAAAAGGACACAAAGCAAACATATTGTAAAGGGTAAAGGAGCCATTTGTTGGAGAATTTGAAAACTGAATCTAAATGTTAAAATAGTTCATCAATAAATCATTAGGCCTATGTCCAATTCTCAGTGTATGAGAAGCTTTCATAAACTGGATGCCTTGTCATAAAGCGGAATAATATCCAGAAAGCAAATAAAATGATAAAGTTTAGGTTATTTGATTAAAAAAAAAAACTCTTCTAGTTAGAAATATGGTAAAAATAAGTCCCTGAGTTTCCTGAGCTGACTTCTGGGCCCTAGTCAAGAGAATGTTCCCACTAGATGGGAACATAGAAAAAACTGCATTCACATCCCGACTCCAGCCACCCACTTGCTGTGATTCCAGGAAGAGGAATTTAAAGATTAGCCAGACTTACAGTAATAGCATATCCTATATTCTTGGGAAACATTCTTCTGATATAGAAAAAAATAGTGCGATTTCCCCCTGGGGACTGCATGCAAATGTTGGCTCGTGGACTCATGCAGTGACTCACACGTCCAGGGGACAGTTTCCTTAAAGAGGAGAAAAGAGTAGCAAAGCTGAGTCAAAGGAGGCTCTTCCCTCTCCCTCTTCAGCCTGTCCATGGTTCAGATACCCAAGTTGCTGAGAATTGGAGAATTTCCTTACACTGATGATTGTTCGTGTATTCCAAGGAAGTATAAAATTGTGCATATATGCATGAGAGTGTGTAAGGACAGGACGTGCGTATCAGTAAAACTGACATTAAAACAGAGATGTTTACTTCCTATTCTAAGCTCGTCCTAACACCACATCAGCGAAACAGCACTGCCAGTGAGTTTGAGAGAAGTCTGTGACAACCAGAAAGCTACATAAGCTCCCAGAAATAAAAACACAGAGGTTAGTACTTGACTTTGACCTACAGATTTATGTAGCAGCCCATATAGCTTATGGCTATGAGGAGTGAGAGTTATAAGAAATACCTGTAGAGCTCAATAATGGAACACCTTAGTAAAAGAGCATGGAGAGAGATTTAGCTCTCCTAACAAGTATGAGAGCTCACGAGATGAGAGCACTGGTGAATTGGCAGCCTCTACACCTGTGATGTTGAGAGGCACGAGATCAGCCTTATATTAGGCTGGAGGAGAAGGCAGTCAGGAGCGTGCACTTTCTATCATGGACCAACTTACTCTGACTCTGTCTCCTGTCCCGCCTGCAGAACGCCAGCATGGCATCTCTGTGCTGAAGATTACCAAGCTTTGCTAAAGACTAAGATCTATCTGTTCTAAGGAGACTGCTTTACTCTCTCTAAGACTCTCTCTCTCTCCAGCTAACGTAGATAGCCCTCAGGCACCTAAGAGAAACTGTACCTGAGCAAGGTAACTTAGTGGTCCACGTCTGGAACCTACATAAGCCGGGCCCGAGACCTGGCCAGTCCTGGGTCCTGACAGATTTGCATAAAATGTATTGGTAATGTGTTTACCAGATTAAAAACTCAATTTTCTTTTCCATTAACATTTATTAACTCTGTTAGGAATTTATATGTGGTGGTAGAATAGTAAGTGTTATTCTGTACAGAGAATCTCACATTATGTCAACCTACTAACACTAACATGGCAAACAGAGACAAAGGATGTGAAGGAGGAGAGACTAGTGAGACGCTTCTGGCTGTCAGGAAATGAATGGCAAATGAACAGCTGATAGTATTCCTCCCCTTCTCAGTCCATTCAAACCAGGGAAGTTAAAACCACTATGTAGGTCTATTTATATAATCTATATTGTGTATATATCCTTATATACTCAGTTTTAGTTCCTTTTGTAATTTTCTTTAGAGATGGGATTGCTCTGCTGCCCAGGCCCGACTGCAATGGTAGGATCATAGCATCATGGCTGATTGCAGTCTGGATCTCCTGGGCTCAAGCCTGCCTTCTGCCTCGGCCTCCTCTCCAGTATGTGATAGCTGGGACTCTGGGAGCATAACCCAGGGGATGGGAAAGCTAATTATGTTCAGACTTTGGGACATTTTAAAGTGCATCATAAGCGGAACTCAAATGGAGAAAATATATATTGAGTAACTATATGACCATCCTCTTTCCACTATATTGTGTTTGTTTTTTATGAGAATTCTATAAAGGCCATGACAGATTGTAGGGCAATCTTTTACAAAGATAGTTCCCACGGTGACCTCATCCTGCACATCCGTGTTAGAAATTGATTGTGACACTCATCCATTGAGGGTGCCCTTCTCCCTTGAACTTGATCAGCCTTTGCCAATAAACGGTCAGAGTGTGCTCTGGACTTCTGAGGGACAAGCATTATGATAGGAGATATTCCACTCTTAAGATTTCTACCTGCAACCTAACCACTACTGTGAGGAAGCCAAGCAGCCCCCAGAACATGCCACAAAGAGGTGTCGAAACCGAGCTTGCAGATGAAATAAGATCAACAACCGCCAGATCCATGAGTGAGTGAGGCCTCCAATAATCCCAGCCCCCAACCCCCAGTACAGCTGCTTTGCAGCCATCCCAGCTGAAGCCACGTACAAGAGAGAAGCAGTCTCTGCAAAGCCGTGCTCAGGATTCATGAACAGAACCCATGGTAGACGTTGTGATTTTTAACAACCATTGTTTAAGAGCTGGTTATGAAATAATAGATAACTGGAACATAACATCACAACCTCTATTTTCACAAAGAGCCAATAGCCAGTACCACAGAGCGAGAAGTAAGAATGAAGGTGAATATAGAGGTCACTTAGACACAAGCCCAGGCCTCTTGCCTCTATACCAAATGGTCCACGTGTAAGACACTTCCTCACAAGTGATGATGTATCCGTTATTAATCCTAACATACTTATCTGCCATTATTGACTCATTGAAGTCCAAGAATAATATAAAAAGTAGGTAAAATACTGGATATCTCACCCTCGTACATTACAAATTCAAATACAACTACCGTGAATCTACCAGAAATGGTGAGAACATGGTTATGGGTGATGGGTGCCTGTAATCGCAGCTACTGGGGAGCCTGAGGCAAAAGGATCGCTTTGAGCCCAAGAATTTGAGATTGCTGTGAGCTGTGATGCCATGGCACTCAACCAAGGGCAACACAGTAAGACTATCTCAAAATAAACAAATAATAAAAAAAATGGTAAAACTAACAAGTTATAAATTACTTTTCAAAATTCAAAATGTGAACATAACTGATTTCTTTAATTCTTAAGACTTAATGACTAAACACAGGTAAAATGCATCAACTTATCAATCAACACTTTTAAGAGGTCTGAAACTCAGGTTTGGTTAAGGAGACGATGATTAGCACTCACTTTCTTTCCTTCCATAAGACTTTTTGGAATTGATCCAAATGCACCTGCAGAGCTGAAGTTTCAGTTCCTTCCTTTTCCAAGGGCAGATGTATTGGTTGCAGCCTCAGCTCAGGTTTCACTGCATAGTTCCCAGAACCGTCATTCTGGAATAAATCAACGCAATCTACACTGGGTTTCATGTCCTCGCTTAATTTTAATGCATCAATAACCACACTTTCTTCCTGAAAAAGAAAATAAAACAATTATTGTTAAATATTAAGTCTCTCAGGGGAAAACTCATGAAAAAAATACAATTCAAAAGAAAATAAGAATTATGATGATAGCACCAAATCCATTTTATAGAGTGTTACATGACAAAGCTGATTTTCATTCTCCTTCAAACTTATTTTCTTCTATGGTCTACCTTATTATATTAACATACATTTATCAAAAGGTCTGCTTTAACTTTTAGTTTGTTTTCTTTTTCTAATCACAGCTAAAAATAACCATGCCCAAATATATATATTTTATATATATATATATATATATATACTCATTTTTTTTTTTTTTTTTGGCCGGGGCTGGGTTTGAACCCACCACTCTGGCATATGGGGCCAGCACCTACACTTTTGAGAGCCACAAGTGCCACCAAGAATATTTTTAATAAATTGATGAATTCCTCCTTAAAGTTTCTTTTGTCACAACATACTTGAGAGTTTCACTGCAAAATCAATGTATGGTTTCTTAACATTTTTAGAAGACAAACTACAAAGATTTGCAGGACGGTCTTGAATATTTTTTTTTATTAAATCATTGCATTAAATCCATTAATGCAATCATGGGGTACAATGTGCTGGTTTTATATACAATTTGAACTATTTTCATCAAACTGGCTAACATAGCCTTCATGACATTTTCTTAGTTATTGTGTTAAGACATTTATATTCTACATTTAGTAAGTTTTTCATGTACTCTAGTAAGATGCACTGTAGGTGTGGGCCCACCCATTACCCTCCCTTTCCTCCCTCATAATTGCTAAGTCATGGAAGAAGCCCAAGTGCCCATGGGCTCTTGAATATTTGTACAAGCTTTTTTCTTATTTCATTTTAGTTCACTAGTCAAATCTCCAATAGAATTTTGTGAGACACTTTAATAAATATGGGCACCAATTACCAAAGCAGCACACTTCCTCCAAAATCTTACAATTCTGAAAGTTCAATAAACTCATGTTACTGATATTTGTCTATAATTTGTATTTTTCCTGAATCATGAGTTTTAAATGAAATAAGACCAAGTTCAAATAAAATCCCATTCAATAGTCAAGTTTACATAAAATTTCAATGATACTTCATTTTTAGAATTTTATTTTTTAACAGTATGCAGTTGTTGCATACTATTAAGTTGTCATCTCTTAACGCTCTCAAGAATTAGTATTGCAATTCTCTATACCATTTGAATAGCAATAAAATAAGACATTTGCTGTCCTCTATAGAAAACACTGTGATCCAACAAGCTTTATGTATACAATTATCCTTCTCATTATGCCTAGAGTTGGCCAAGAAACTGGCCAAAATAAAAAAAAGAAAGAAAACCTGCTTAAAGCTTCCTCAACAGGTTAATTCCCTCCCATTAGAAGGAATTTCCGATGTTATAAATATCTGCAATGTATAATCTGTTCTTGACACTAATGATGTAAAGATATTTAAGAATAAATCCCAAGATATTGAGAGTTTCTCAGCATAATACATGTAAAAATAACCCTTCATTTTCTTAAATACAGAGTCCAGTGACTTGTAATAATTATAAAAGTTTTGTGAACTCAGGGAACATATGTGAGCCATGTTCACTCATCCTCATCACTTCATTCAAATGTAAATCAAATTTTGAAAATTTTCCCAGAAAAGTACTAACAGACTGGGAAAGTTAATTGTCAAATTGAAAATTAAAAAAAAAAAAAAAAAAAAGAAAGAAAAGAAAAGAAAAAACCTAGGTGACTAAATGAGCAGAAGAAATCATGTTGTTACAATCTTTTTAGTTTTTTTATTTATAATGTAATCTATGCACAGTAATAATGACCTCAAATTCTATACGTGATAGGCTTAAAATTTTATGTGAATTGCAGTGGTACAAGATATTAACTAACACGTATTTAGAGATGGAATTAAGTAGAAAGAGTTAAGAATTTGAACTGACACTATGATAGAAGTCATATGAGTTCCTAACATTTTCCAAAGAATGTTCCCTGGGTTGTTAATAGTACTTACCAAGCAAAGAAAAAATATTTTAAAAAAAGAAAAAAAGAAGAACTGGTAATGTTCATCAGTGAGTAAGTACAAACGGATTGATTTAATAAAATTGTTAAAAAGTCTTTTTGTGTAGAATTCTCAGAAACTTCAAGATTCACAATACACCAGGAAATTCCCAGAGTGGATCCTGTGAAGCATTTCCTAAAGGTACCTGCACATGATACCCAGTCTACAAAGGGGTCATTGTGAGGTCAGAGCCCCAGACCTTGAGACTTTTTGGTCTCCTATATAGATCATTTATAAGTTTGATATAATTAAGGTAAATAGGAAAAAAAATCCAAATGTTTTCTTTACACATAAAATTCTGGGTAAATTTTTGCTATAAAAGCACTGATGCAGGTGAAATTGTGTCTTCTCCAAATTCCCTTCTTGAAGTTCTAACCCCTAGCACCTCAGAACGTGACTGGTAACGGAGACAGAGCCTTCCCAAGATGAGACTGAGTTAACTTGAGGCCACTGTGGTGGGAAGAGGAATTAGGACACAGACACGTATGTACGGAAACGACAGTGCCAGGGCCCAGGGAAAAGACCGTTACAATCCAAGGAAGAGGCCTTGGAAGAAACCAGCCCTGCAGACACCTTGATCCCGCAGTTCTAGCTTTAACAATTGTGAGAAAATAAATCTCTGCTGCTTAAGCCATGCAGACGGTGGCACTTTGAGGTGTCAGCCCTTATAGACTGACACGGCCACCACTGGGTATGGCTCTGTCCCCGTCATCCCCACCACCATACCCGTTCGTGGCATTCACAAACGCACCTTATCTCTGGGGTCCCCAGTGGATTTTCCCCCTTACCTCACTACTCGTGTTCTCCTTTGTAGGAAATCGTCTTTTTACCAAACACTGCCTGCTAGACTCACTCATTTGGGAACCAATTAGAAATTGGTCTCTGTGTTCAAAGGACTCTTCTGCAAAACCAGGAAGCCTCCGGCCCTGGGTAACTTTAGCTTCGAAAGCCTCCTTCCGAGGTGGCAAACGCTGCTGCTTTTTCAGTTCGCTCAGTTCCTTCATCGTCATCTCCAGTTTCAGCCGGAGTTGTCTTGCTTCCTCCCTGGCACTGTTCCTTTCCGCCCGGACCTTGCTCCATTTTTCTCTCCAGTCGGCCGTGCAGTCTGACCACCACCGCATGGTCTTTTCCATCTGAGCCGCCCTGGCTTTGGCCTCTTCTAGTTCCCGCAGGCGAAGCTCTGCACAGATGTCCCACTCGGTGCTGGAGGAGCAGGCACAGAAGTGGTGGGAGGCCTGAGACTGCAGCCGGTGAAGGGGGCAGCGGGGACGGCAGGTGTCCCTGGGGGACGAGGCAGTCGCCACCTTCTCCCAGTGCGGGTTAACTGCCGACTGCTGTGACTGAAAGATTTGTGTTTCCTCAATTAATCGATGAATGGAATCTAAATTCATATTTCTCTTTTGAAGGCCTAAGAAAAGATAGAAGATATAATTACTGGAATCTGAATTTCCCTTGCAATCATGAGAGCAAAACCTACATTGAAGAGGCAATGTTGATAAATGCATCTTTTCAATATTCTGTATTTTATTTTCCAGTGCAAATAAAAATATGGACAATTTTATGCACTTTAAATTATCCTCAAAGAAACAGAAATTTCTCATATTAAATTTTACCACACAAATCAAATAAAAACATAAAGATGCAATGGGAGATAGACTATGCCCTGAATAATTTATTTCAACAAATCCAATTCTATGCAGGTAATGCGCATGGGAACACCATCCACTACGAAACAAAAACCTGTAATGTTTGTTGTCCACTAACTGCACAACAGTTTTCTTGTTCACCCTGATTTGTTCGGGTGGATGCTGCATCTATTGATCTCTGGGAGAATAACCTGTTACCCCAGTCCCAGAGGCTGAGTCCTGATGAGTCTGCATCTTCAGAACGACTCCGCCTGACTATTCACTAGTCTCCAGGCAGGCAGGAGGCCTGTTTCTGGCTGAGGGGACGTGAGGGGAAGTGTTCTGGGAAGGCTTCTTTTTGTTTGAACACAGACATGGTTCTGAAAAAAGGAGCGTATAGCAGCATCTCCTAATGTTTAAAATGGCGAAACAGAAAGATGAAAGGAGCCTGGCTAAACTTCCACATGAAGAATGCATGCCTCTGATTCCTCGGCTATGTAAGAATGATTACTCATGTTTATTTAAGATATGATGGTTGAGTTTTCTGTTACTGGCAGTCAAAAGCCTATCTATCTGACAGATGAATTAATTGCCTACTATAATTAATTTTGTGATAAGCTCTAAAAATAAAATATGAGAAAAGATGGTCTTTACACTCAAAGATTTTATAGTCAAAACGATGGATAAGACAAGCACATATAAATTAAAGAATACATATGTACATAATAGCAAATAACTTTATCTGATCTTTTTCTTAGTACTCCTAATATTATGTGTCGGGTCAGACTCGGAGGGGCTGCTTGAGGTGACCTAAGGAGTATTGCTAAAGACCCCAAATTTACTATTTAGTAAGGATACTCTTTTTTTCTTTAAAATAATTGCTTGAAACATGCAGGTTAATTTTCAAATTAATACAGTTCCATGGTTGTATAAGAGTATCCATTTTTATCCTCAGACACAGTTTTCCGGTGTAAATATCTTAGATGATACATTATGTGCCTAATGTTAATTTCTCTCACTTTTTTCATTTGCTTTTATGAAGATACAGATCATAAACTGCCTCCTGACTCATTTATTTAATCAACTGAATGGGTTTCATGATACCAACTTATAAGTTAAGCCCTATTCATTGGGAAAAATAAGACTATGTAATATTGTTAAAAGACTAATATTAAAACTGTACAATTAAAAGGCTTTATTATATTATAATTAATTAATATTAATTTTGACTTGTGGAAAAATCATGTTACCAAGTGTTCTATAGATATGACAAAGCAATTCATTCCTTATTATAACATTTATTACAATAATATAGACTAACAGTTGTAATTATTTTTGTTAGCATTAGTATAGCATTGGTATATGTCTAATCATATTTGAATTAATACTGATCTGAAGTAATTGTTCCCTTCATTTACTGTAACTAAGAGGGTAAAAATAATATAATTGACTAAATTCCAAGACCAATATAAAAAAGAACAGAAGGAGCCCTTAATTAGGAACACACCATATATACATATATGTGTGTGTATGTATAAAATATATAAATAGATATGCAAACAAATGTACCCACATACATAGTCACTATTCGCTGATACTTATTTTGGTTGGAATTCCAAAATGGAAACAGAGAATTTAGCTCAGCATATTACACTTAAATTTATCCTTTCCAGTTTTCAAAATAAATAACTATCATAAAATTGTAATGTCTTTAAAATGTCTCATTAACTTTTATTTCACTAGTGTTTTGAAGACTCTATAATTGGATTCGGGTACATTGAGATCTTGCCTACCAATTAACTATGTATTTTTTTGTGTTTGAAGAAATAAAAATCAGTTGGGTTTATCATTCCATCCTTGAACTTGGATAGTATTTCCTGTTCTGAAAAGTTTTCTCAAGCAAGCGTAACTTTCTTGAAATTGCGATATTGACTATGCATACATATTTACTAGAGTATTCATTTTCCCTGTACATATGTGGGCCCTATTTGTGTCAGACAACCATTAAACATATCGCCAGTGGTTGTACCACAGGGCCATTGATACATGAGAAAATATTTTAGTTGTTGATTCTTGGTTTTTTATTGATTTTTGTATTGTAAAACCCTCATCCAATCACGCTACCATGATTCTTGAGAATATTTTTTAAGTAGTACATAACCAAATAAATAAAAGATGAAGGGTCTACAGTATATGTACAAGGTCAGACAATGAAGTTTGCAAACTCATTCAAGACAAAGTGCTACACACCTCACTGCTGAATGTCAGTATAGTCTCCTTCAAAGTACTCCCCTGGGGAATCAATTCACTGACACCAGTTCCTCCTCTGTCCTTCACCGCAATTTTGTAACTGTTTTTCTGGAATAGCCATCAAAGTTGTCACAGTGCAAGGTCTGACAAATTCACAAACTCATCTTAGAAAAAGTGCTTTAAAGGGTGGAATAGATGCTGGCTCGTAGCTTCTGAAGGGGAGTACTTCAAAGGTGACGATAGCCTTATTCAGCAATGAAGTACATAGCACTTTTTCTAGGATGAGTTAATTGTTCAACCTTGTGTAATATTACTTATTATTTATTCCAAAAGAAACAGTATGTGTAAGATGGTAGGCATCAGACTTCATGGGTTCAAGTTCTGACTCTGCCACATTTTAAACATATGAACTTGAATATTATACAAACTTCCTTTGACTCAAGATCCTTATTTATAAAAGGTGACAGAAGTTGTGTGTGTCTTGCTGAGCTCTTATGACTATTTAGTGGGGAAACCCCTGCAGATTGGCTAGCCTATGAGTCCAGGAGGTAACAATAAAGTTTTTCTTAGTGCTATACAAGTCATCAGCATATCACCTTAGACATCTATACTACTTAGTCTTATTCTGGGGTGGGGGTTGTTTCTTTGTTTGTTTGTTTGATTTTTGAGACAGTCTCCCTCTATTTCCCAGGTGTGAGTGCTGTGGCATCAGCCAAGCTCACAGCAACCTCAAACTCCTGGGTTCAAGTGATCCTCCTGGTTCAGTCTCTCTAGTAGCTGGGACTACAGCCAACAAAACACATGGCTAATGTTTTTCTATTTTAATAGACATGGGATCTCACTCTGGTCTCAAACTCCTGAGCTCAAGAGATCTGCTCCCCTTGACCTCCTAAAGTGCTGGCATTACCAGTTTGATTCATACCATCCAGCCCTGTGCTATATATTTTTTGCAGTTTATTTTCTCTCATTTGAAAGAGAAATAGTGCATTTAAAAAATAAGGAGACTATAAATAAAAACGAGATTTACAAAAGTGCTCTGAATTTCATGTAATAAAGGTACAGTCTCAATTTCTAAATAACATGAATATGAGTCAGTGGAATACTCAGTACTATTATTATCCCCACCTTAGTGATAAAGGGTGTAAGGCTCTGAGGTTTCCAGGAAAGTCACATTCAGGAGTCAACCAGTTTGGGAACCAACGAATATTTTTTCAGATTCATATGAGGGTACAATGATTAGGGTACACTGTTGGCATTTGTTAGGTGAAGTCCCAGTTGCATTTGAGACCTTCACCCAGGAAGTGTGCCGTCTACCCTTACACTGTGCCCACAGGAGAGCTCGCCAATCCCCCTTTCTCTTCCCTTGTCGTCTGAATTTAATTATGTTTTCCTCTCATACGGGTGTGTACTTGTTTATCTACTGGCTTCAGATCAGTACTGAGTACACGGGATACTTTCTTTTCCATTCTCGTGAGAACTAAGGAAAAGGTTCTTCAACTCTAGGTGAATGCAAAAGATGAAAAGTCTCTATCTTTTTATGGCTGAGTAGTGTTCCATGGTACTTGTAACTACAGTTTATTAATCCATTCAGGGGTTGATGGGCATTTGGTTGATAACAGATCTTGGCAATTATGAAGTGAGCTGCAATAAACATTGTAAATGTCTTTATGATAAAATGATTTTTCTCTCCTTCAGGGTAAAAACCTAATAATGGGATTGCAGGATCAAATGGAAAATCTATTTTTAGCTCTTTGAAGATTTTCCACACTTCTTTCCATAGAGGTTGTATTAGTTTGCAGTCCCACCAGCAGTGTAGAAGAGTTCCCTTCTCTCCACATCCACGCCAGCATCTGCAGCTTTGGGACTTTGTGATGTGGGCTGTTCTCATTGGGGTTAGGTGATGCCTCAGAGGGTTTTTGATTTGTATTTCTCTGATGATTAAGGACAATGAGCATTTTTTCATGTGTTTGTTGGCCATTCGTCTGTCTTCTTCAGAGAAGATTCTGGGGAATCAAGGAAACTTGAATCACAGTCATTGCTTCCTCAATCTGTTAGATTACTTCAGAAACATATTTGGGGTATTTCCATTTTGGATATTTTTCTTTTAAAATACCTCCTATTAAGTCACACAATTGGTCCACTGATGGTGACATCCTCCTTGGAGTTCATTCAGTCTCCTTATCATAGCTGAAAAGAACTGTGAGGTCTGGGGCCTGTTTGTCCCGCTGGGCTCCTCCTCTCTGTCATTCCAACTCCACATCCCATACTTCAGACTCCACAGTGTGCCCTTTCCTGCACGGCCTCACATCCACATTCTCTGTTGTGCAATCTGGCTGCTGGGCAGAGAACCCCTGCCCCTGCCACATGCTCACCTTCCCTGCCTTCTCATCCTCTGATGGAAGGTCATGCTTTCCTGCGAATGGCTCTGTGACCCAGCTCTTCAAGGCCCTTCCTCAGAGAGGATTACTGACACTCGGCCTCCTCCAGACATCACTTCTACCACCCTGGGATGTCCCTAATAATCATATACAAC